TATTCATAAATATAGGAAGCCTAAATTATAGGGATAACGATTGGCTGAAAAAAATTGAGTTTTATCTGAACTAAAGTTCAACAGCCTCTGTGAGCACCATGCTGTAGCAGAAGTGAGATTTCAAGTTCAAATGCCTCCTCCAAGCAATCAGAGGGAGTTGGCTTCTTATCATGACAAGAATATATGGTAGTATCATCAGCAAACAACGCCACCTTAGATGTGAGAATATCTGGGAGATTGTTAATGTAAATTAAAAAGAGTATAGGGCCAAGGATTAAACCTTGAGGAACCCCTGAAGTTATAGAATAAGAATAAGTGTGCTGTCAATCAAGGACAACCTTTATACTACGATTAGAAAGGAAGGATTCAATAATCTTAAAGATGTTTCCAGATATACTGTAAAAAGAAAGCTTATGGAGAAGACCAGCATGCCAAACTTTATCAAACGCTATAGAAATGTCAAGAGCAATGGCCTCAACCTCTCCACCTTTACCTAATGCTCGATAAAACCTATTGGTTATTACTATTAGCAAATCAGCCGTAGAATAAGAAGATCGAAATCCATATTGATGATCAGAAAGTAAGTTATTAGATTTAAGATAAGAGATTACGTGTTTGTTAATTAAAGATTCAAAAACCTTGCTTGTGATAGGAAGAAGACTAATGGGACGGTAGTTAGATGAATCAGATCACTCACCAGAATTTTTGAAAATAGGGATAACAGATGCTGCTTTCCAGCAGGCTGGAAAACAAGACTCTGATAAGCACTTGTTGCATAGTTTTAAAAGGATAGACAACAGCTCAAGAGAACAATTCTGCAAGACTATAACAGGTAAATTGTCCTGGCCACAAGCTGTAGAAGAGTCTGCTGCAGAAGCAGGAAATCACTTTAAATAGCTGTAGAAGCAGGAAATCACTTTAGATACAGAAGCTGGAGTGATACGGATATCAAGCAATGGATCAGCCTGTTTACCGATATATCAGGTAGAATGCATCTAGTGGTATTAAGAGATGGTATTGATGAAAAGTTCTTAGCAAACAATTCAGCTTTATCTTTAGGTGAGGTGACATAGTCTGAACTGTACAAAAGATGTGGAATTACAGACTTGCCCTTATTATTAATACTACTGAAGATTCTCCAGAAGTCATGAGAGCCTAATTTTTGTGATGAAATACAAGATTTGATGACCTGAGAATAGCAGGCTTTGGCATTAGACAAAGCCTTTTTTAATGGTTCCTAGCAATAATTAACAGACGCCTGTTTTCTGGAGAATTGTTTTGCTGATAGATATGGAAGTAATGGTTTCAATTGACAATTGCAACAGCACAATGTGAGGAAAACTATGGAGAAGAGTGAGACTTGACCTGGAATTGTCGAGAGGGAATAAAGGATTCCATGCCAGCCTGAATCCACGAAGTTATCTAAAAAAGAACATTTGTCAACAGGAAGACGAAAGACTTCTACCCATCAGGAAGAAATGCCCATCAGGAAGAAAATCACAGAAAGAGTCCCAGTCAGCTTTAAGGCAGGCTTGGTCGGGAAGCGGGAGCGATCGCTCTCGAATACTGACCACGGAAATTATATTTAGTTGCGTAAAACTGGCCAGGTTTTTTAGTCGTTTTGAGAACATTTAAGTTTATGTACGAAACACAGAATTTTTGTTTTACGGACATACATGGAAACATAATAAACTAGAATGTTCTCGTGCGAAAGAATAAAAAGAATATTTGCGAACACTAAAAACCCGCCAAATTAACAAACAAACTAATTCTATTGGTTCAAAAATACGCTGATTAAGCGAAATAAAGTTCTAGAGTATTCTGTTAAAATGTTTTAGAAATTGTATTATTCACGATTTGTTACATTTTGAGATTTCTAGTATTGTTTTAAGAATATATATTATTTGTTTACGAAAATAAATGTTTTAAATATATATTAATTAAATTGTTAAAATTTTAAAAGTTTATTATAAATTATAGATTTTATTAGTATATTCTTATTTTTTATTATAAAAGAGATTGTATTCTTTATGTAAACGTAATTTTGTGTATTTGTTTTTTATCGTAATGTATCTTTTAAAGCAATTTTTATGATTTAAACAAAGACTTACAAAAATAATTGCGTTTTCAATGAATTTACAATCGTAAAAGTTAATAAAACTAATTATGTAACAAACATAAGAAGTTTCTGGTTACTTAACACAAACAACGCATACAAAGTAACTCGCGGATGAACAAGCATCGCGCCTTAGGTCACGACAGAACACAAATATATAATAGCAAATAATTAGATATAAAGAAGAGTTTCTAGATATTGGTTTACTAACTCTAATTATTTTCGCTTAAGTTGCCATTCTTAAAACTCGTTATACTTTTTTTTACTTTAAATACTAATTAAAATTAAAAACCCACTCACTAAACATCATCAGCGATATTGTGAAGCAGTTTCGCTTCCTGGTCATTACGTATTTTTAACCTTTTTAGTTGATTTCTATCTTGATAATTTAATTCCTATAGTAATTCAATGATTTAATTATTTCATTTGTTTATCTTACTAAGAAGAATCGCTTCAAATATGTTAAACTTTTCAAACTACGCGAAACATAAAATAGGTATTAAAAAAATTATTTTTTTTATTTATAAAATAAATTAAGCTTAAGTAAAACTAAAACTTGCAAACTTAGTTAAATAAAGAATATTTGTTTCCCTTTTAAACAATTGTAAGTTGTTACTTTATATTAAAAAAAATTGCTTAATTTTATAAAAAAAATTTATAAAAAAGCGATGTTTCGTAAATATTTGTTCTAAATGTAATTTACTTAGCTTAAAGTTTTTTCGCGTTTAAAGATACTTTATTTGCCTACTTTTTTTTTTTTTGTAATTTCTCTCATCGGTCCAATTAATGTTAGTCGCTTTTTTTTTTTGCTTTTTAAAATGTTCTCAAAACGACTAAAAAATCTGGCCAGCTTTTCGCAACTAAATACTATTTACGTGGTCAGCAATCGAGAGCGATCGCTCCCGCTTCCCGACCAAGCCTGCTTTAAGGTAGTTGTAAGATGTACAATGATAGGGGGATTCTGATGATAAAGAAGAATGAGATAATAGTTTTAGAGAGATCAAACTGTAATCAGAGGCACCTAAGGGTGAATGTGGAGAAACTGAGCACTGACTAGGATCAGAAACAAGACATAAGTCGAGTAGAGAAGGTAAATGGTTCGAGTTGTCTGGAAAACGAGTTGGAAAGTTGACTATTTGAGTTAGGGATTGAGAAAAGTTATGGGCTTTAATGCCTGCAGAGTCACTGACACTAGAGCCAAGCCATTCAGTATGATGAGCATTAAAGTCACCGAAAACAACAATACTGGCTGATGGATAAAGAGAGAGGGCTTGGTCAATATGATCAGAAATAACATCAAGAAGAGTGTAGTCTTGAGATGAAGGAGAGCGATATAGAACAAAGAGAAAGGCGATAGAGAATGAAGTGGTGTTAAACAAAAGCACATTAAAAAGTAGCCAGTGGGTTTTAACCTAGTTTCCTGACTAATGGGCGAGTTCTTACGAATGTAAATGCTTAGGCCAAGTATGTGACTATTGGAGTCTTTACGAATTAAAGGAAGATAACCATCAACACTAAGATCACAAGATGAGACAGCTAAACTCAAATTAGTCTCACAAAGAGCAAGTAGGTCTGGTGAACTTTGCAAGAGATAAGACTCAACAGAAGAAAAGTCACTTCGAACACCACAAATAATAGTGAATTTGGTGATGACAATGGTTTTTTGTGTTTTATAGTATTTTTTTTCTTTATTCATTTTTAAATTTGTTATAGAACTTGACATAAAACATAGATAGTACTAAGTACACTGTTTAATAGCCCAAGCAATTGCTTCATTACTACTAATAAACCCTAAGCCTGTGGGCCACTATCTTTACTTTACCCAAAGCCTGTGGGTCACAAGTCTTTACAGATATGTTTTATGATTAGCTACTACTGTCTGCAATTAATAAGCAAAATATAGGCAATGTATTAAAAATACATCTGTATTTTTACATACATTGTATTAAAAATACAGATGTATTTTTAATACAATGTATTAAAAATACATCTGCGCCAGCCTAATAGGTGGAGAAGGGGTGCAAGGCTGGTCAACAGATAGAATCTGTTGACCCCTTAAGTCTTTGCCTAGGAGGCCTTCTACAAGACAGCAGCCGAATGCATTTAACAACTTCCCAAGATGAGTATTTTAATCCAGACACCATCTCAAGCCTTTACTCAATCAAGTGCGCCAAGGCAGGGGGTGTTTTATGTCGGAGTTGGCATCCCCTTGCCTTTGCCTAAAAAGGCGTATCCTACAAGGCAGCCAAATATGAAGCAAATCGTACTAGGTTACATGTTACCAGTAGCAGGATAAACCTGACCTGACAAACTGAGTTCTAAACTGCAATTTGAATTTGTAAACTAAAACTGCAAATTAAACAAAAATTTGAGTTCTAAACTGCAACAAGCTGCCTATATTTTGATCATTTATTGCAGACAGTAGTAGCTAATCATAAAACATATCTGTAAAGACTTGTGGATGAATAGAAAAATGCTACAGTTAGTTTCATTTTGGCATATTTTAGCGATTTTAGGATTTTTTCCTAAAATTGCTAAATTATTAAAATTGCTAAAAAAGTGAGAAAAAAGTTATACAGCTCTAAAGTAGTCTGTTTTGACCATTTGTAAATTTAGAGGGAGAAGGCACTATGTCATGTTTCTAAGGCTATAATTTCCGAATCATTGTAATTGGAAGTCTGAAATTTAAAATTTAATCTATTTAATTAATGCACATAACAATATGTAAAAATCAGAAAAATCAGAGATGTTGAGCCACAGGCCATTAATTGAAATATGATGATTTGATCCTTTTATAAATATGCTTTTAAAATTAAAATATTCCTATAAATTTAAGAAATCAGATAAAGAATAAAGTAAACAATTTTAAAAATTTAATACATACTCAGATTTAACCTCATAACAAAATGGATTATGTGCAACTTCCTTCAAATGATTAATTGCATCAGTGATTGTTGCACTGAAAAGTAAAGTCTGTCTCTTTTTGGCAATGTTATCAAAAATCACCTAAAGGCATTTAATTTTAAAAAATGCACAACTTTTCATATTACTTTTATACTTTAGGGGAAAGGCAGGTTAGTTAATATGCAAGGCTAGTTGATCTCCTGGCTAACTAAATCTTTTTACAGCTGAAGTGCTGCCACCTATTGTTTGCTAATGTAACAGGAATTCACTAGTATTAACTTCAAGGGGTAGAAAGCTAAAGTATTTATAATATTTTAAAAAAAGTGCTTTGCATTATCACAAGTGAAATCTTAAAAACCAGGCAAAAGTGTCTTTTGTTTAAATTATATTTAGTAATTCCCCACCCCAATGTACATATTTATGACATTTACTTCAGGTTAGTTTTATTCTTTGGAAATAAGTTGAAATGCCTGAAAAGAGAAAGGTAAAACAAAATGGTGGTAATAGGGTTAGTTGATACAAAACAAGTTAGGTTAGTTGATACATGAATCAACTAACAATTCTTACTAACTAAATTTTTATAAGCAATTAATATCCACCACTAAATACCTTACAGATTTAAAGTAATTACTAAATTTTAATAACTTTATGTATGAAACATACTTACTCAAAATTAATCTAAACAGCAAATTTTATCAAAACCTAATTTTAGAGGTAAGTAGTTTTAATATAAAGTATGATTGCTAGCAAGCAATAACAAAATGTTATGTTTACAAAGACAAAAAAGTAGAACCCTATTAGCCTTATTACCTTATTTCATTTAACATAATTTCTTACTTTTGTTTTTGTTTGGTTGTAATCTTACTTCTGTATTGAAACATATTCACCTGTAAAATGAATATGGTTTTTTCTAAAATCATTTTATTTAATTTAATTTGGTCATTTAAAACTCCTTTAAATTTATTCATAGAAATTTTTACTTGTGTAAAATAAAGCTTATTTCAATGTTGCAGGAAAATGCCGAATTATTTATCATGTTTTTCAGTTTTTTTGTATCATTATGTTGTAATTATTTTGTAACAATTTTTTTAACAATATACTGCTAGTTTTTTTTTTAATCACTTTTTCGAGACTAACTTATAAAGTGTATCAACTAACCTGGCAGGATGTATCAACTAAACTTATTCATAAGGTTAGTTGATCCATTAGAATAATTTTTTTTAAAGGGCAGGGATTCTAAGATTAAAAAAAACTGAATGATTAGCAATGTCCACACACATAAACAAAAGTTAAAAGTTATGCAAGGTGACTTTAAACAATACTCTCTAATAAAAACCTTCTAGTAAAATAGGAAAAACTAACCTGCCCTTCCCCTATTTATACTACATTATATTACATATTATATGTATATAAAAATCCTATATATTTATATACACAACTTGTATTTATGTTTATGTACACAAACGTTGTGCTTATAACTAATATAAAATTTTAAAAATATCATTTAAATAAGTGCTTGCCTCAAGATCATTTTCGAAACTTTTTTCTAACAATCGATCAGCTTCGTCAAGGACTAAAAATTTAATTTTATTCAATGAAAACTTTGTTCCACTCGTTATATGTGAAGCTAATCTTCCTGGAGTTGCAATTACAACGTGAGGTTGGTTGCTTAGTTCCATTCCTTGTTTAACCATATCAAGACCACCAATTATAACTGCATCGTTGAGACCAATCGATTTTCCAAGTGCTTTAAATTGGTCTGCGATCTGAATAGCAAGCTCCCTTATAATTAATACGAGCAATTTTTATTTAATATAAAGTATATAAACATTTAAAAACTATACAAAAAAAAAAAGAGTTTACCTAGTTGGAGTCAGTATAAGAGCGAAAATCCCATAAGGGTCCTCTGAAAGTTTTTGAATGATTGGAAGAGCAAACGCTGCGGTCTTACCGCTTCCAGTTTTTGCAGATCCAATGCAATCTCTCCCTGAAAGAATTTCTGGAATGCAACTAACTTGAATTTCAGTTGGTTTGGAAATGCCCATTTCTAGACATTGTTTGTTTAACCATTCATGAAGACCTAAATCTGTAAATTTTGTAGCCATTTTTTGACAACACGTGCAGTAAATAAGTTGTAACGCGTACTTTTTAAATAACTTTTTGTAAAAGTGAAAAGCTGTTGTTGTTTTTTTTTCATAAATATTAAATAAAAATTATATTGTCAATATGTATTTTTTTTATCATTTATTTAAGTATCAAACATAAGATCAATATCAGTAAAAAGTCAAACCAACATTTGGCGAAAAAGCGAATGGATACTTTATAAATTTTAGAAACGGGAGGGCGCGCAACTTATTCTATAGTGTTCGAAAAATTATAATTTTTAAAACAAATACAAGAAGCTAAATTTGGGCCAAATATAAAAAGAAATACGATAAAAAAAAACGCGCTCAACCGTCAAAATACCTCATAAATTAGCTTTTGAGTAATAAATGGCCTTGAGTGCAAGGTAAGATGGTTGTGTACCTATGATTTTAAACTGTTGTTTAAATTCAAAAACTCAAAACTCTAGAAAGGAACTGGGAACATTTTTTAGACAAGAATAGCAACTTACAAATATGGATAAAAAATAATGAAGATAGATCAGAAATAGATAAAAAAGAGGATCTAGAACTTTGAAAGACGCTTTTTGAAATCAATCATGAAAAAAGCATGACATTCCTTATTAATTGATAAGGAGTCACATATTCTCGGTGCTACGAAAATATGTGATCTTCTCCAGATGAAAAGGTTGTTAACCTCCTAAAAGAACGAAATCTTGAATCAATGATTGGATTACTATGTTTCAATCCAACATCAAGCATTGCAAGTATACTTAAAGGTTTTTAAACAAAAAAATCTAGTGTGCTAGATAAGTATCTAATTCTTTTAGCTGCAGACAACATGTTTTTTAGCTGAGAATCACACACTTCAGTGAAGCAGCAATCAACGAACGAACTACGCCCTCTGATAATTGTGTTTAAAAAAATCATAAACTTTTTTGTAACAACTTAATTTTAAGTACAATCTATCTATGTTAATTATTATCTTAAACTTTCTTGGTTAATGTTTGATATAATTGGAATAGAAAACAAATACTGAGGATTTGCTACCGGGTCCTCAATTTGTTGCTTTTGACCTTGCAAACTTTGTCTCGATAGGGTCATACTATCAACATACAAATCATTTGTAAACTTTGCAAAAAGAGACTTTACTAATGTCGCTTAACAAATGAATAATAATTAATTATTATTTCAAAAACTTATATATTTATAAGTATCAGACAATCATCTTTGGCAACCAGAAAACTCTACCGCTCCTCTGCTACTTTATCAAACTTTAATTAGTAGCGCTATAGTGGGCTAAAGTCCGCAATTAGTTCGCTACTAAAAAGTAGTAAAAGTAATAAAAAGTAAAAAAAGTAAAAAAAAAAATAGTTAAAGCACTTACTTTGGGGTTGTCCATAAATTCCGCCAGCAGTTTTTGACATTTTATTGACCCTCTCTCCCCCCCCCCTCCTCCTTGTAACGCATCCGTAACACTTTACAGACCCCCCCCCCCCCTAATAATACGCAACAGTTTTGTACCCTACCCATTAAAACTTTTCTTAATATTTTTTTTAGGGAAGGGGGGTACAAAATTTTACAAATTACAAAACGATTTTAAATATAATAACATTTATAATTTTCTAAACTACTTTGATAATTAATTATTACTTTTCAGTCTGTTTAATGTTTTTTTTCACCTCAATTGTTCCGTGTAAAATTGTATAAATTAACATTGCTATCCTTAACATGATACCAATTTTAAAGACCTATTCTTCCGATAAATAAGACATTGAAAATAATATATATATATATATATATATATATATATATATATATATATATATATATATATATATATATATATATATATATATATATATAAATATATCGTATATTCCGTAACTATTTGGTATCCACAAACATTTCGCAGCATAAGCGTAAAGTTAAAGTTGCGCTAAAGGTACGCTTTACTTAAATTATAAACAAATGAGAAATCATTTGTTTACATTTTTAACTAAAATAAATAAGGTAGTATAAATGTATCAAAAGAGCAATTATTATATATACTTGACTACTTTTGCAATTACTCTAGCAAAATTTTTTTAAGTTTAAATTTAAGAAGATTCATCGATAGGTATTGAGATAATGGTAGATCCTATGAAAGCTCAAACTTTCAGAGTTTACTTATAATATAACAAGATACTGATTGAAGCAAAATCTTGAAGTTAGCTTAAAGCAGGTTGTAGCATCAATAATTAATTTATCCCAAAACAGTTTACTTTAAAACCCCATAACTCTGCTCAAAAATAAAACCAAAAAATATATATTGTTTTATGAGTTTATCATTTATTTTACTACAACTGTATAAAATTTCAAAGCACCATAACGAGAAGTTCTTGAGTAATTTATTGAAACATGCTAAAAAATGGCATTCTGAGAAAAAACTAGTTTAGGGTAGTTAAAAAAAAAAAAAAAAGCTGAAATGTTAAAAGGAATTTTTATTTCACTTCTGAAAATTTGCTATCACTGCTCAATATTAGAGCAGTAACTTAATTTTATAAAAGCACTACTCTAATTGTGTAATATTTTATTAGATAAAAGATTAATTAAAAGATTAAACAATTAAAAGATTATTAAACTCGATTACTCTGAGGTTGTGGAATAGCTTCATTATTGACAATGAGATTGTTAATTGAGATTGTAAAGTTAGGGGGAAAAAAAAAGGTACTTCATTGCAAAAGCACCTATCCACATACTGAAATGAAACTTATAAAAGTTTTTTATAAGCTTTATTTAACTATTTAAGTTCCATACAGAAATTATTATTAATATTTAGCAAAACTGAAAATTTTTAAAACTATAAATAAAAATATAGATTGGATGATTGTATTAAACTAAAATCACTACAAACTCTCAGTATCTTAAGTTATTTCATCTTTTTCTTTATCTTGATCAACTTTGTCTCGATAGGGTCATACTTAACATTTTCATTTTGTTCAAATTTTTTTCCAATGTTTGTTTAATTTATCATTTGATTTGTTTGCTATATTTTAATTTTTTAACTTTTTGATCGCAAAATGTTATAGTTATTAGTTCTAAATAAACATTCAATTTACCACATTATTTTTCAGATACCATTCCGAAATTTTTGCATTTAAAGAATTGTTATTGTTTTGAGTTTTTTCATGAAGGCACCTTTCTAACATGTTTTCAACAGACAAATCAATAAATATTTATTTGATTATGTCCATAATTAGAACAGGCTGTTCTGGTTTTTCTGTATAAACATATGTCTAAACAATATTGTCTGCTTGGAATTTGCACCAGGTAATAATAGTTCCATAATACATTGAATGTCTTAATTCTGAAAATGCCTCAAATTCACAAAACCACAATTTTGTTATTTTCTTTTCTAATATCAGGCATTGCAATTACTAAATATAAATTTATATCAGAAATTTTATTTATTTATAAACTTTTTTACTGGTATAGAACTTCATATGCCATAAACACTCAGTGCAATTGAATAGCAACAAAGAACTTAAACCTTTTTTTATTTTTATTCATGTTATTTGACTTCATCTCACAGTGAAGGTATGTTCAAACAATGGCAAGAGATTGTATAAAAACATCAACATCAATTAAAAGATTATTGGACTCGATTACTCTGAGGTTGTGAAATAGCTTCATTATTGACGATGAGATTGTTAATTGAGATTGTAAAGTTAGGGGAAAAAAAGATGGTTCTTCATTGCAAAAGCATCTATATTTCAAGAAAAAACTGATAATCTTGATTTTCTTCATCCTTTTTTTGAGACTCTAGAAGCACAAGTTTTTCTTTTCCTCAATACATCAGTTTTTTATTGTGCAATTCGAAATAATATATTTATTTTATTCTCCACTAAAAAATAAAAAATAATAAAGAACTATTCTCTGTTTATATTTAAAATCAATAACTAAAAAAGATAACATTAGCTTTCATTATATATGTAACAAGAAATTAAGTAACATTTTAGCACAGTAAAAAGGATTGCTTTTACAGTTTTTATGGCAAAAAAAGTGTATTGTGTATAAGCACCGGCGTTACCGCATTGGCGGTTAACACTAAAGCGATTTTTTTTGATTATGCAATAAAAAGCGATAAAAAATCGCATTGAGTCGCACGCGATTTTTTAGATAAAAATCGACGTGCAATTCGAAGTAACTTTTTTTTGCCAGTTTTCTATTAATTGCGAAAATAACAATAAGTATAACATTTAATTGAAAAATTAGATTTCTAGATTAGAAATATTAAACGATAATAGCGATCTTTGCAACAAATGGCAATTTTTTTGATAAAATTGCGGTTTGTTGCGAGAATAACAAAAAAAACGCGATTTAATTGTAATCGCTGCAATTTTTGTGCTCGTAAATCGAAAAAAGTTTCGATTAGTTAATCGCTTTGAAATTATCTAACTAAATACCGCAATAGTAAATAATCGCCCGCAATTCCTTTTCTAAATATCGTTATCGAAATTTACCGCTCAAGGTGGTACCTCAAGAAATAAATTAAAATTCAAGTGCGAGGCATTTAAGAGGCATTTTCTCAATGATTAGAATTTTATTTATCTTGATATGAAATCATTTTATGTGTTCATATATCAGTAATCTTTATTCATATTTGTTACCACATAACTTTTGACTACCGGTTTTTGGAAAGCAATTTTTGTTTTAAGCTAACTAACGTAAATTTTTATACCTTCCTTATGTTTGTTATGAAGATCATTGTTGAAATAATTTTAAAAGTTGAAATTTTTAATTCGGATTATTGATATTTATGCTTCCTTTTAGTAGTTTAACTTTTTATTTAACAATACTTTAACATGTCCCAAAAAATTAGACTTAAACTTAATTTGATTTTAACCCTGACCCAGTGAATAACTCATTGAATAAAACATTGCATAACTACATAATTCATTTGAGAGAAAATAAATGAAAACAAATGAATATTTTAGAAATTATGCATGAAACACTTAAAAGTAAGCGACCTAAACAACACTAAAATAACAAAACTTCAAGATCTAAAATGCATTGAAAAAAAATTATTTCTCATTGCGGTAACGCAGGTGCTAATTAAAATAAGGTACCATAGTGTATTGCTAAGGAGCAATACACTATAGTATCTTATTTTAAATAAAAAATCAAAATATTTATTCCGTACCTTTATTTTTGATTTTTTCAACCACCTAATATTCTTTTACTATAGATCTTTATTTTTTTTACTGACATTAATAATTTAAATAAACTAATATAGCCAAATAACAAATACGACTTCAATATTTACAAGAATATATATATATATATATATATATATATATATATATATATATATATATATATATATATATATATATATATATATCAAAACTTTTATCTTCCAATTTTATTTATATATTCTTATATTCTTACGAAATTTACGTTCTCGCTAATTATTACCAATTATTACTACGACATTGTTTTGTTTTTTGGTTTTATATTTCATGTTAATTTAATGTACTTAATATTCACAAGCGGCTCTTGATGATAAGACCTGAAGGTCTTCTTCTAGTCTCCGCGTTCATTTTTTTTTTTTTTTTCATTTTTATACCTGTATATTTTGTAATATTTCTTTTATTGTATAACGATTTTTATTTTAACTATTTTATTTTATAAATTTATTGAATATTTAAGGAAAGAACCGTAAACAAAATTAAGGTGAGAAACCCTGCAAGTTTGCAAAGTATTTTCCGGAACAAGAAACAGTTTTCTATTGATAACTTTTGAAAAAAATGCACACTTTCCCTTTATATTAAACTTTAAATGCAATTTGGACATCTGGAAAGAGCGTCCGAGATTGGAAATTTTTTAACATCTTGACACTTGACTCCTTGAAATTGTTTTTGAGAATAAAAACTACAACGAAAGTTTTATCGTTAAACGACATAATTTTGAAAACTAAAAATAAAAAGTAAAGAGAATGAGAATGAAGAAATTTCAAACGTGAAGAATATTGAACACATTGCGTTGTTTATAATTTGTCACAATAATAATGTAGTAGTGGAATTTTTAAAAGTTGTTGTTCAAATTTAGTTAAAGATTACTTTAATGAGATGATAGAAAAATCCAGGTTAACGCATATGCATGCATAATAAAAATAGTTCATCGAGTTAGTTGCAGGCATGTTATATAAAGCACTAATGCCGCTTCTTCAAAGTTTTAAAATCAGATTTCACAGTGTGCAATGCACACATCTGAAATTACTTTGATACTAGAGAAAAAATTTTGGTTTTTCGAAAAAATTTTCTTTTACTACATTTGCAGTAAATCAAAAAGTCATTAATAACAAACAAAGGTGTTTCTAAATTTAAATGGTAGCAGAGTAGCGTTTTAGATTTTTTTTTGGGAGTGACCTCAGTCCGTTAATGAAAGCGCTTTAGCAACTCCGCTACCAAATAGAAAGTCCGCATGTAGCAGAGTTGCAGAGTAGCGGATCTAGTCACGCTACCACCAAGCTCTGCACTATTCACAATATCTATGGCGGAAACTTATAAGAATCCCCCACACTAAAAGGTGGCAATCCTACCAGGATATAAAAGGAATCTACAAATAATCAAAAATGGAACCGGAGAAAATTTATAAGAGATTGATCAACATGATAAAAATACATTAAATGCATAGAACAAAACGCAATGAATAACGATAAGTCATTATCGGTTCCGGAATTTTGCATCCAAATTGAATGCGTCAACGAGGGAAAAAAAAACTAACCTTACCTAATCCGATGATCAAAGAAGTAAAAATGAAATTTAAAAAATTGAGGAGAAATTAAGTGACGATGAAGGAATCAATGAGTTGCAACCTGTTCACAAAATACTCGGTACTGCTGATAATTAACAAATAAAAACTGTTGGCCTCGGAAGAAGATACTTATGTTAATGATATGCAAGCAAGAGGAGAAATTTGGTCAAAATACCGTTGTGTTTTAACCGAATTGGTTAAAACACCAAGAAAAGTGGCTAGACCGATTGAGATTAGTTGAAACGCCGTATGTATCATGTAAACGTATTTGTATAAAGTGAAGCGTCTGTATAGTAAAAAAAATTATATAAAAAAGCATTTAATTAAAATTAAAGATAGAGTCACTCGTGGTTTTAAAATACAATTGGGAAACGGTTATGAGATTAAACGACCAATTCAATTTTTGTGTAACCTGGAAATCGATTGTGTAGTGAAAAACGTAAAGAGAGGATGGAAAATCAAGCAAAAATAGAAATCTTAAAGAGAGCAACGAGACGGGCTAAATTGGACGAAATACAAAAAATCAATTGCATCGTTGAAGACGAGATAATTGGTTAAAGCCGGTCTCAGCTTTAATCGGGAGAGAGTGCTGAGAATGACGTCTTCCACGTGTCTAGAAAAAATTAGCGTCTTTGAATATTAAATTTAATGAACTTCTTTGAATATTAAATTTAATAAACTTATAATGACGCGGTCTTCTGGTAGGTTTGGGAAATTACACTTCCTTTTTACGGGTATTATTATAATATATGTATATTATATATATATAGGTATATTATAATATATGCGACATTGGTATAGAAGGAGGCGTGAACTTCCTGGTTAAATGCTCCTCCGTGGTGTTATGTGATAAGACCGATAGGTCTTATCACATAACACCACGGAGCACCTCAATAACTTAAAAAAAATTCGTTATTGAAAAAATTTATATTTATAGGTTTAATTAAAAATGTTGTACATATACAAACTTCTGGCAATTTAGAGAATAATTAAATTATATTGAATATAGATATGATTAAATATAAATTAAAAACTGAAATAAAATAGAATAAGGATTTTATATACAAGCAGGGCCGTTCCGAAGGAGTGAGTGTAGAGTGTGTCATAGCCTCTTTCCCCCCCCCCCTTCTTTACCCCCCAAAGCTGTTATATCTGCTATTGAGCAAGTTTTAAACTTAAGTTGGAAAATGTAAATACCGAGAACCTGTTTTTTTTTTTATCGTTAGTTGGCAAAAAACACATCCCCCCCCCCCACACGCAATACCTCATTTTTATCATACGGCTTTCTATACAGTCAGATTCTTATTCTATTCTTTTAATCAATGCGGATTTGAAAGCCTATATAGGCTTTCAAATCCGCATTGATTAAAATCCAATCGCACCAATGTACAACAATATTGTTGTACATTGGTGCGATTGGAAACGGAAAACATACGAAACGGCAATTTAAAATTTTTTAAGTTTTTTTTTTTATCATGAAAATATAAGTTACCCATCTTTGTTTTCCTAAAAGAAGGAAAAAAATAAAATTAATAAAAAATGAAGAACGAAACAAGTGGAAATAATGTTGCTGACAATTTTGCCAAGAAAGAAATAGTACCTCAATGGCAGACTTTAAAAGCTAATCGTCTTGAACGTAACGAGTTTATGTACTGCAATGAACTTATTAGCGACATAAAGTTTTATATTGGAAAAACTAAGCAAGTCTTAATCCCAGCTCACAAATATGTTTTAGGAACTTCAAGTCCTGTTTTCTTTGCTATGTGTTGTAGTGAATTTAGAAAAGACGATGTAATAAATATCAATGATTGTGAACCCGAACCTTTTTTAGAACTTTTAAGATTCATATACTATGATCAAGTTCATTTAAATAAAACAAATGCATTGGACATCCTATACCTGGCAGATAAATATATTATTCCATCTCTTTCTAAAGAATGTGTAAATTTTTTGCTAGATAATGTTTCTACAGAAAATGTTTTAGAAGTGTTAAGTGCTTCAATATGCTTAAATGAAAAACGTTTAGAAAAACATTGTTGGTCAATTCTTTCCAGAAAAACAAAAGAAATTCTGCAATCTGATTCATTTTTGGAAATTGACCCATCATTTTTGATAAAAATTATTAAAAAAGATTGTTTAGATGTATTGGAAATTGACGTTTTTGAGGCTGTGAAAAGATGGGTTGAAAGAGAATGTTTTCGTAATTCCATAGAGCCAACTTCTAATAATAAAAAGGTTTTTTTAACTGAAATTCTTCCTTTAATACGCTTCCCTGTAATGTCTGCAAAAGAGTTTGCTTTAAGTCCTGCTCAATCAGATCTTCTGTCACTTGAAGACATCAAAAATATTTTTATTTACTTGACATCAGGTGTTGGAGGTTCAAATCTAAATTATCCTTTAAATCCAAGACATTTTAAACCACATGTTTGTAATCGCTATATTAAGCCAATGAAAAATTATTTATGGAGGTATGATGAAAAAGATATTGATGCTATTCGCTTTAAAGTTGACCAAGAAATTTTACTTGCTGGTATTGGCCTATTTGGGTCACCTTGTGGAGGAGAGTATTCTACAGAAATTTCCATCTCAATTAATGATGAAGAAATTTTTAAAACCAAGGGTGCTTTTGTTTCACCTCCAGATCCTAAGTTTAATAATATTGATAATCCCAAAATTCATGAAGTTATGTTCGATGAACCTATTCATTTAAAGGAAGGTATTTTTTATGATATAGCTGTTTTATTGGATGGTCCACCCTCATTTGCTGGAGATGATGGAAAACAGGAAGTCATAGAAGAGGGTGTAAATTTTGTTTTTAAAAATAGTAGTGGGTCTACAAATGGAACAAGTTATGATGAAGGACAAATACCAAGTCTACTTTTTTATTTTTAAATGTTGTGTTGTTCATATTTAAACAAAATTTTGTAATAAATAATATACTTATTTAATTATATAAATGCTAATGTAATTTTTTAGTTGTAGTTCATAAATAGAGAAATACATATTTATAAATTTTTAATTTTTTTTGTCTGTATTTTAAACACTTTCAGTATTACTACTGAAATAATGAAAGTGCTCTATTTAGAAGTATTTCTATTTTTCTTTTTTATTGTGAAATATTTTAATTATTGTTAGGGTAACCCTTATCTTGGATTTTACATAGAAGAGTGCAACGCAAAACTTTATGAACATTTTCATTGCTTTCTCCTATGTAAAAATTGGTATAATGATTACCCTAGCTATTACTGACTCAAAATATTCATAGATTATTTGGCTATATGGAATCATTAGTCTGGGAAATAGTATCTTGTCAAGAATTAAAATCATCAGATATAAAAATACAACTAAGCAAAAAGTTTAATCGTAAAGCTCATCCAAACATAGATGAAACTATGGATACAATATGGAGAGAAGCTTGTGCTAAAAACAATAGACTTTACAATGGTAGCAAGTTTCGATTAGCCAGTGTAGAGTTAAACGAATTTGGAGAGATAATTGTCAATATTGGAATCACAGATTATAAAGAAACATTTTGTACAAATTTTAGTCATATTTGTAATGAGATTTATGACTTTGGCATTTTAAATTACAATGATAAATATGCATGCTTTGGAAATGCTATTGGTGTTGGATCAGTTGTATTATCAAATGATGGTTTTATTATCTTAATAAAGAGATCTAACTGGGTAGGAGAATCAAAAGGTTTGCTAGATACTCCAGGTGGACATGCAGAGCCTTGTGTGAGTCAATATTATAAAAATTGTTAATAAACATCAACAAATAAAAAAAAGGTTTTTTGTTTGATTGTAGGAGTTGTTGTCTCATTTAAACATTGATGATATATTTTTGGCGAGAGGAGAAGATGTTGCTAATGAAATTTATTATGCAATGATTCGTGAAGTACGAGATGAAGTAGGAATTAGTTTTTTTTAATTATATTTTGTTTACTAAAATAAGGTAATACTACTTGACAATTTGGTAACATAAGGTCAAACAAATTAACTTGCTGTACCAGGTGTTGAAGTTATATTGGTGCTTTTAGCTTTTGAAGATTCAATATCAAAACATGACAATTTGTTTTAAAGTGTGGCAATATATAATAATTGAAGTATAATATAATCTTTATTATGAATAAAAATAAAAGTTTAAAACAGTGTTTCAAAAAAGTTAAAATGTTTAAATTTTCAGCACTAGTTTTCATACCATAATTTACAATTTAGCTTATTATTGCAAATTTAGAATAGGCAAAAAGGTAATACTACTCTCTGAGATATGTTTTATATAAATTTTCTCCTAACAAGACTGCTATACAAATGCAGCTACTATATAAATTGAAAGAAAAATAAAGAGAAAAGAAAAAAAACTAATTAAAAACTTGAAAAGCCTAATCATTTTTTTGAGCAGAAAAATGTAGAAAAATGCAATTTAAATAAATAATAAATCATATGAGAATGAAATTTGTTATAGGAATCAAAATATGACATCAATATTCTATGCAAGAACAAATCAGATCAAAAAAAAAAAAAAAAAATAAATAAAAAAAAAAAAATGCTGGGCGTAATAAATTGTCACAATCTTAACAGATGCTGATTTGTTTCTGGAATGAAGCAAATGTCTTTATCCTTACTGGATTGTTTCACATTAGTGAAACAATCCAGTATGATGTTGACATATTGATCTAGTAATATCAAAATTATTAAAATAATAATTAGCATGTTGATGTTATAATTGAGTTTTTGTTATTTAGTTAATACTTGCTTATAATTTTTTTATTTTGTTAATACTTGCTTATACTTGCTAAAAATATATACTTTAATGCTTTTTAATAAATTTAATTGTTTAGCTGACTATTAATAATTTCAACTTTTTTAATTTCTGATGTTTAATGTTTAAAGAATTATTAAAATTTATTTTATTTATTTTATTTTATATATATAGATTAATATTCCAGAAACTTGCTTAAGCTGGCCTGTATGCCTGGGAATATTTCGGAATAAATTACTTGGTGGCAAACCTGGTTTTGTTTTTTATATCAAGTAAAGACTTTAGTTTTTTTTTTTAAACAAGGGTTACATAAATAATGTACTTTTTATTAAACTATGAGTAAGTATGAAGTTATGTATTAGTATTAAAGGCTACTATTTTCCTAAATATTTTGCTAATAATAATTAAATAAGGTAAATATTCAAGAGCTGGATCACATTACTTTTTTTTTTTTTTTTTTTATTATGTGGTTAATCAAATTAATAGTGATTATTATGTATTTCACCATAAAGAAAAATTTACCAAATTATCAATTATAAAATGTTTATACAAGAAAAATACAGTCTAATCACCAGGCTCCTTTAAAATATGAGTATAAGTAAAAAATTATGTTAAATTACACATTTTTGATTCATCACAATGTAATATATGCAAAAAATACATATATAGATACAAGCATAAAAAGACTTTATTATTTTTAACTTTTATTCATTAAGATTTCAAATTTTGATTAAATAAAAAGGAGATAAAACATGAACAACAAAAGAATGAAAGTTTGGACCTAGTATTATGAACAATATTTATATTTTATAACTTATTTAACATATATTGTATACTTCATATAAAATAAATTTCTTCATATAAACAAAATTATAGTATAAATATTAGTACAATATATAAAAAATATACAATATATAAGAAATAAATATAAGATTAAATTTAAAAAAATATAACAAATAAGTTGTTTAGAAACTATTATATGAAAGACAAAACTATAGTATAAAAATTGAATGTAATATACAAGAAATATAAAAGTACTCATTTATTTATACATTTCTAAACTCACATTTTATAAAACATATTATTGTTATAGTTATTAATATTTCAGATATATAAAGATTCAGATCAAAAACAAATATGATCAAAAATTAAGTAAAAAAAAAAAAAAAACAAGTAAAAAACATGTGATTATTCCTATTTGAAAGTTTCAGAAGAAGTCTAATTCATTGTCAATCATCAAAAGTTTTTAAGTTTATTTTTAAATCTATCAAGACAATAATAGTTTTTAAGTCATTATTCATTAGCATGTTTCATAATTTAGGTCCTCTAATTGCGATTGAGAACTTAGTAGCAAAATAATTTGTTTTTGGTTGAAACTTTAGACATAAGAATTTGATAAAGGTTAGACTTTGATAAAAGTTAAGTTGAAATATGTTGAGTATTTTTAATTTATTAAAAAAAAATTCAGTGTGTGAGAAGCAATCCACATTTCCAATAACTCTTGTGTTTCTGTTTAATTAGTCTACTAATCTTTATAAATTCTCTTATAAGATTAACTAAAGAACAATATTAAATATAAATATAAATATAAGACACACAAAAAAAGCAGTAATTATCCTTGTTACTTTGTGTTGAATCTTTTATAATACTTTAATACAGGTTTATGCTATAAAGATAGAAGATTGAAACAGAGAACTAAAAAAAAGATCTGGTATGAGTTGAGTAAAGTATTTTCAAAAGTTTTGAATCAAAACATAAAAACGAGCATTGGATAAATTCAATCATAAAGTTTGCTTTAAAAACATTTGTGATTACATTGTAATGTAATCTCATCATGCTTATAGTCAGTTGAAAAAAACCTGAACCTTGATAATAAACCTGAGGTTATTGATAAATTAAATGAAAATATAATTATAAAAGTTAAATAATTATAAAAGTTAGACAATTAAAAATTAAAAAAACAATTTAATTATTTTAGCAATTTAAGTAAAATTTATTTAAATGAATTTAAATGCGAAAATGTTTTCTACTTCTTTTATGATGTTTTTTTCAGATGTGATTTGCTTAAAGATGACATAGAGAAATATTATCACAAAGGAGGTTTAGAAACGGATGAATCAACTGATATTTTATTTATGTCTTTAAAGGTATGCTTTATCAAAATCTTTTAAAAAAAATAAAAAAGTTAATAGGAATATTTAAATAATGAATTAAGAAAAATAATAGTATTAAAAATAATTTAAAATTAAAAAAATATTTTGGTAAATTAATTTTTTATATTCTGAGTAATTTTGCTTTAAAATAAAAAGCTCTTGGTTGCATAATTGTCTAAATTCAGATAAGAAACCTATTTTCAAAGTTTTTAAATATTTAAAGCAATTTTTTTTTTTTTTAAAACATCTTGATTAAAACTATAGGATGGTTTCTATATATTTTTTGGGATTTGTTCAGTTAGTTTAGCTCTTCAAAATATCCATCTTAAAATTTAGTTGCTAAATACATTTAAAAATAAATTTAGTTACTAAAGTGTCTTTTTTTTTTTGAAAGATTTCTCTGTAACAGTCGTCAGCCTATAAATTTGTAATTGAAATAAAAATTTGCTTCTTTTAGTTACTTATTATTATAATAGTTTTACTAATTTTTTTTAGTTACCTAAATCAAATTATGTCTTAATAAGAAAATCAAATTAATATTTTAAATCAAATTATGTCTTAATAAGACAATCAAAAGGTTGGGGTCCTTTTATATGTCTAAATAAAAGTGTGGGGATGTCTTATTAATCTTGGGATGAGTGGGAAAGTTTTCCAAAAAATAATAAACATCTCTTCCCGTGTTTTAAGCATACAGCAATATTGGGATATCTTTTGAGCACCTAAATATATTTTACTGAAGTTTAAAATCTAAATGTAAATTAATCTAATTATTTTTTTTTTTTTTTCAAAAATTAATTTTTCTGAACCAGGGGATATTAGGGGCGTTTTTGAGGGTATTTTTGTTCCAATTTGCAAATCATGTGGTGTCTGCCTCAAACCAAAGTATTTTAATCTAAAGTCTAATTTCAAAAGATTGGCACTGTTTAGCACAGTTGGGTCCATTAAATCTAGAACCATTTTAGCCATGCCTGATAGTTTTCTTTTTTTAGTATTTTAATTTCTAATTTATTATTTAACAAGTTGTTTAATTTAACAAATTATCAGAAAATTTGCCCAGTTTATTGAGACTGATTTTTATGAATTTTGACAAATTTTGTGCCAATCTTTAGTCATCAGCCTCTCTTTGATTGTTGTAAGTTTGTATCTCTTTCTCTTTTGTACAAACACTATCATGGTCGCTGCTCAATGGAGCTATCATCTCTAGTTCCATCAACCAAAACTCATTCTCATTTGACTCTTCAGCAATAATATTTCAGCAAGGTCACATCCTTTTATAGTATCTTTCCCTGCATGCTCTATAGGAGTGAGCAAAACCAGATATCCTGTTCAGTTTGTTAAAATCTGATTCAGATTTTAACAAACCGGACCGAATTTCCAGTTTTGCTCACCCCTAATAAAAACTTTTAACTATGGGTGAGCAAAATTGGATATCCAGTCCAGTTTGTTAAAATCCGAATCCGATTTTAACATACCGGACCGGATATCCAGGTTTTGCTTACCTCTAATGCTCCAAACACTTTTACTTGTCTAATTTTTTACCCTGCATTTCAGCCTTTTAGAACTCTCTTCAATCTTCATGTTTTCCTAACTCAACCTGCAATTTAAGTCTTCTTGGTCTTTAACTTTTTTTTTTTCTAGTAACTTTTGTTTAAAGCAACTGTTTAATAGTGGAACCTAGATTTTGTTTAAGAAGATGTAAATTAGTAGAAGGCTTAATGTTAGCCATTCATCATCATCATTAGTGTTAGCCATTCATCAACACATTTGCAACAATTATTAGCAGTAAACATCTGGGTTTTGCTTGGATTAAAATTTACCAGCCACCCCAAATCCCAAGCAATTACATAAGAGAGATTATTAATGACTTGGCATAGTTTAGTTAATGACTTTTCATAATCATGTCAACAGTTTATCATAGTTTACTACTATATATATATATATATATATATATATATATATATATATATATATATATATATATATATATATATATATATATATATATATATATATATATATATATGTATGTATGTATATATATATATATATATATATGTATGTATATATATATGTATATGTATGTATGTATATATATATATATATATATATATACATACATATATATATATATATATATATATATATATATATATATATATATATATATATATATATATATATATATATATATATATATATATATATATATATATATATATATATATATATATATATATATATATATATATACAAATTATATATATATAATTTTAATACAATTTTTAGAAATAGTTTACAGAAATTTAGTTAATCTTATTATTTCATTTTCTGATTAAAGTTGCATTTAAAATGGCTAATTAATTTTTGGGTAAATATTTTTAATGCTTTTATCACAGTTTCCATGCTTAAAATTTCAATTATACAGACTAATTCAAAAACTTTTAATTTGTTTATTTTTATAATTTTTAAATAAAATAAACTTATGTAAATAAAAATATAATAAACTAAAAAATAGTATAAAAAATAAAATAAATATAATATTTTAAAAATATATAAAAATAGTTATTTACTTAAACTAAAAGATATAATTTGTTAAATTAGTAAAAGTTTATTATTAATAGTGATATACTTTTACAATCTAAAAATTAAATTAATAAAAAATTGTATTTAATCTTTAGGAATTAAAGTCGTATACAGATGAAGAATTTGCAGTGTTGATTTGTGATATGGCTCCTGGATGTCAAGCTGCATTACATATGTTCAAAAAACTTTATTTTTAAAGAAATAAATTTAAAAAGTTATGATATAAAATGTAGTTTTTTTTTGCTAGTTTACAAAATGACATCAATTTGTGACAAGCTTAGGTAATAAACTAATTTAATTATTTTAATTTTTTTCTTAAATGTTGGGTAAATGATAAAGACAAAAAACAAATAATATATTCAATGACACAAAAATAATAAGTTTTTAAATTTCATTATATTTTTTGAATTTAAAAAAAAAACATATATAAAAAAATAAAATACTTAATGTGACTCTCCACATTGAAATAAAAGAAGTTAATTCAAATTTCTAAAGCAAATCTATTTTTAAATGAATTAAGAAATGCTTCACCTATTATTCGCTAAAGACATATTATTACATTATGTATATCATTGGAACTAGTTTTACAAAAGCAGTAAAATAAATTAACAGTTGTACAGTTATTCATTACTTTACTGCTCCCAAAATTTTTTAAAGTTTTATTAGTAAAATTTTAAAATATAAATCTATAAATCAGTTGTTTGTAAAAGTGTTTTTTTTTTTTTTTTTTAAATTATTCACCTCCCCAAGGCCTGAGAGGGCCACTACAGTCGAGGAGGCTACTCTTTTTTTTTTTTTTTTTGTTGTCAATCGTGGTACAACCCTCTCTCAACTCTTTAACTCCAAAACACGAACCTTCACAAGCAAGGCTGCTGCGCGGAGAAATTAAGTTGAGCGCGGTTAATTATTGAATTAAATATTTTATATATTACCAAATAATATATAGTGATTATGTATGTATGTATGTATGTATATATATATATATATATATATATATATATATATATATATATATATATATATATATATATATATACATATATATATATATATATATATATATATATATATATATATATATATATATATATATATATATGTATATATTATATAGTGTATGTTATACTTTTGTACTATTTTTAATATTTGTAATATTGTACTAATTTAATATTATTATACAGTGGCTAGCCATAATATTATATAGCCATATTATTAAACTTTTTGTATATGGCAACAATGCTCATATCTTTAATTGTCATTCTTATCATATGTTGTCAGTTTGAACAGTTGCATAGAATGGTTGTGTAAAGTGTTTTTTTATGCAAACAAAGTTATTGGAATACCTCATTGTGAAGATTATTTTGTGACTAACATTGTATTTTAATTATTACTAAGGTGTGTATATCTTAATACTCACATTTTTAAAAAAAAAATTCAGTGAAGAGTGTGAAGCAAAAACTTAATTTTGACATGCTTATATGTATATACATATACATATATATATGTAGTGAATTTAGGGGTATCATATATTCTGCCATAAATATAACTATGTTTGTTTCAGATCTTCAGATAATGAAGAAAAAGAAGAATTTTGCATAATGATGTTTCTCATATTTTCATCATGCTTGTAAAAGATGTACTTAAAGTTATCAAGTTTTTTTCATTTGCAAATTATTATACTTGTAGCTACAATTATTAGTAAAAGTTATTTTTTCAATAATTCAATCATGCAATTCTTTATATTCATGTAGTTTAATTACATTTGGCATATTGGAGTGATATATTTGGAGTTACACAAACAATGTGGTCTCCAAAAACTTGGCTTCATTTTTTAATCTTATTTTTTTGTTAGTTTGCCTGCTTATAATAACTGATATATTAAATAATAATAAAATTAGATATATAATGTAATAATATAATATATTGTTATATTATAAATGCATAACATAATAATATATTATTATATAATATATTTAATGTTACATATAAGTAATATGATTATTCATTTTATTCTTCTTGTTATTATTATTATTATTATTATTATTATTATTGCTATTATTATTATTGCTATTATTATTATTGCTATTATTGCTATTATTATTATTATTATTATTATTATTATTATTATTATATGTTTTTACATTATAATATTTATTAGTATTACCATGTTATATATAAATGTAATAATATGCAGCAAAATAACAACACTAAATAATTGTACTATACATATAATAACACTAATACATATAATACATATAATAATACTTCAATAATATAATAATACTAATAATATATCTTCAATTCAATCAACAACAAAAAGAAAGTTATTAAATTATTGACATAATTATAAGAAAAAAATAAAAATAACCTAAAAAAGTTTAAATTGTTTTGTAGATTTGTATTTGTTTATAAATTAAAAAAAAAAAGTAAATTTCAGTAATAGTTCTTTTCAAAGAAATATATATTCTCAAATAAATAAAATTACACTAGGCTGCACAAAGTTCTTTTTTTTTTCATTCTTCACTTTTAATATAATAATATAAATTTTTTAAATGTTTGTTTTAATAAAATCTCATTAATATCTTTTGAAGTAAATAATTGATATGGTAGGAAAATCAATTATTAAAACAAACTCAATATGTTTTTAGTTAAAATGGTATCTAGGAGATTTTATCTCAATATAAAGTTTTGTTAATTAGAATAAAAAACATAAGTTGGTTTTATAACATCTAGTATTTGTGTAAAATGTTATAATGGCATACTATGCAAATGCCAAAGGGGGTATCCCTTTTTTTAAGCGTGAAGAAGAAAGAAGATGGAACGATCATTTAAAAAAACATAAAGAGTTTGTATGTATTTAAAATTTAAAAGAGCTCTTTTTTTTTTTCACTTTTCTAAAATTTGTTTTATACAATTTATATATGCTTATTTATATTTTTATCTTATCTTTAATTTATAAATATTTTATATAGTCTTTTATTTATATTTTATGCATATTATAAATATGTCAATTTGGAATGATAATGGATAAAGTATATTTGCTTTACGTTAATTGTGAAAATGTGCAAAAGTAGCCATTGTAAAAAGAAAGTTTTTTTGCATAACACTAATCTTTTTTCCATAACACTAATCTTTTTTTAATTTTTTTATTAGTATTAAAATCAGTATTTCTAATTTAGTGTTATTATTTTGATTTACATATAAATATATATTTACATTAATATATGTGATTAATATTACTGATATTGATATTATATTAAAATACTTCTTTATAAAATATATTGAACATATTTCAAGTAATAATAATAATAAGTTTTTTTTTTTTTTTTTAACATCTTCACTTCCAACAAGGCTGCAAGCAACCACTATAAGAGTTGGAAGTTACTGGAAGAGAAAAGACTAAATCTGTAGAGCAAGATAACGATTGACTGATGACTTAAAAGATTGCAAATTATATGAATCAGGAAAGCAAGATGAAGGAAGCGAATTCCAAAGAACTGATGTTCGAGGAAAAAAACTAGAAGAATAAGAGTTTTTGAAGCACTTAGGAACAGTCACAGAAAAAGGATGAGACTTAATTGAATGGCGAGTAACACGAGAATGAATTTTAGTAGATGGCACAAGGGACGCTAGCTCTTTGGAGCAGTGCCCATTATAGTACTTGTAGAAAAGAGAAAGAGAAGCAACATTACGACGATGTGACAAAGGTTGGAGATTGGCTGCCAGAGCAGGTCCAACTATGTTTACAATTCGTTTTTGCACCTTGTTTAAAAGAGAAAGAGCATCATTAGAAGATCCGCCCCAGATGTGGCAACAGTATTCCATACAGGGACGGATTTGAGATTTATAGAGATAGAGAATAGAATCTGGAGTAAGAAAGTGTCGAGCTCGATAAAGAGATGCAACCTTAGCAGATGCTAATTTTGCAATGGATTTGATATACGGTTTAAAAGAAAGATCAGAAGTAAGAGTTAATCCTAGAAGATGAATGGTAGATGACTCATCTAGTACATTACCATTCATAAATATAGGAAGATCTAAATTAATACGATAACGATTGGCCGAATAAAATTGAGTTTTATCTGAATTAAAGTTCACCAGCCACTGTGAGCCCCATGCTGTAGCAGAAGTGAGATCCTTTTCAAGCTCAGATACCCCCTCCAAGCAATCAGAGAGTGTAGGCTTCTTATCATGACAAGAGTAAATGGTAGTGTCGTCAGCGAATAATGCCACCTTAGATGTGAGAATATCTGGAAGATCGTTAATGTAAATTAAAAAAAGTATAGGGCCAAGGATTGAACCTTGAGGAACCCCTGAAGTTACAGGATGTGAAGAAGAGTGTTGTCCATCGAGGACAACTTTTATACTACGATTGGAAAGAAAGGACTCAATAATCTTAAAGACGTTACCAGCTACACCATAAGAAGAAAGCTTATGGAGAAGACCAGCATGCCAAACTTTATCAAAAGCTTTAGAAATGTCAAGTGCGATAGCCTTAACCTCTCCACCTCTATCTAATGCACGGTAAAACCTATCGGTTATTACTGTTAGCACATCAGCTGTAGAACGAGAAGACCGAAATCCATATTGATGATCAGAAAGAAAGTTATTTGATTCAAGATGAGAGATTAAGTGTTTGTTGATTAAAGATTCGAAAACCTTGCTTATGACAGGAAGAAGACTAATGGGACGGTAGTTAGATGAATCAGATCGCTCTCCGGAATTTTTGAAAATAGGGATAACAGATGCTGCTTTCCAGCATGATGGAAAACAAGACTCTGATAAGCACTTGTTAAATAGTTTAGAAAGTATGGATGAAAGCTCCGGAGAACACCTCTGCAAGACTACAACAGGAATGTTGTCAGGACCACAAGCTGTTAAAGAGTCTAAGCATGAAATTACTTTAGATACAGAAGCTGAAGTGATGCGAATGTCAAGCAAGGGATCAACCTGTTTGACGGCTATGTCAGGTAAAACGCAACTAGTGGAATCAAGAGATGATATTGATAAAAAGTTCTTAGCAAACAATTCAGCTTTGTCTTTAGGTGAGGTGACAAAGTCTGAACCATACAAGAGAGAAGGAATAACAGATTTGCCCTTATTATTGATACTGTTAAAGATTCTCCAGAAGTCTCAAGAGCCTAATTTTTGTGATGAGATACGAGATTTAATGACCTGGGAATAGCGAGCTTTGGCGTCAGACAAAACCTTTTTACAATGGTTTCTGGCGATAGTGAACAGATGTCTGTTTTCTGGAGAATTGTTTTGCTGATAGATATGGAAGTAACGGTTTCGATTAGAAATTGCTGCAGCGCAATGTGAGGAAAACCAAGGAGAAGAGTGAGGCTTGACCTGGAATCGTCGAGAGGGAATAAAAGATTCCATGCCAGCCTGAATCCACGAAGTTATGTAAGAAGCACATTTGTCAGCAGGAAGACGAAAGATTTCTACCCAAGGGCCATCACGAAGAAAATCATGGAAAGAGTCCCAGTCAGCTTTAAGGTAGTTGTATGTGGTACGATGATAGGGGGATTCTGATGGAGTAGAAGAATTTGGTAATAGTTTTAGAGAGATCAAACCGTGATCAGAAGTACCTAAGGGTGAATGTGGAGAAATTGAGCACTGACTAGGATCCAAAACAAGACATAAGTCGAGTAGAGAAGGTAAATGATTAGGGTTGTCTGGAAAACGAGTTGGAAAGTTGACTATTTGAGTTAGAGATTGAGAAAGGCAAAAGTTGAGGGCCTTAACGCCAGCAGAGTCACTGACACTAGAGCCAAGCCAATCAGTGTGATGGGCGTTAAAGTCACCAACAACGACGATATTGGCCGATGGATAAAGAGAGAGGGCTTGGTCAATTTGATCAGAAATAACATCAAGAATAGTGCAATCTTGGGATGAAGGAGAGCGATATAGAACAAAGAGAAAGGCGATAGAGTGAAGTTGTGCTAAACGAAAGCACATAAATGAATAGTCTGTAGATTCAAACCTAGTTTCACGACAAATGGGTGAGTTCTTACGAATGTAGATGCCCAGGCCAAGCATGTGATTATTGGAGTCTTTACGAATTAAAGGAAGATAACCATCAACACTAAGATCACAAGATGGGACAGCCGAACTCAAATTAGTCTCACAAAGAGCAAGTAGGTCTGGTGAACTTTGCAAGAGATAAGACTCAACAGAAGAAAAGTTACTTCGAAGACCACGAATATTAGTAAATGATAGGTTTAGAGAGCTTGGTGATGACGATGTTTTTTAGTTTTAGGTACTTTAGTCATTTTAAATTTATAAAGAACTTGACTCAAGTATAGATAGTACTCAGTACACTATTTAACAACTAAGCAATAGCCTCATTACTATTAATAAACCCTAAGCCGTAACAAAGGGCTCCAAATGTGGCCTCTGAAATGCACACCAAAAGTACAAACAGGGACACCATCCATGCGCAACATGGCACTGTTAGTACTCTGATATTTTTCGGCTGTTGATGGAATCAGCCTCTCTGAGAGCTACCACAGAGTTTAGGAAACCTGACTACCAGCCGGCCTCAGAACCATAAAACTGAGTTTTAGAGCTGTACCCTCATTAGGAGATAATAGAATGAGTTGCCCAGTCATAAAAATAGAGACACAAGCAATACCCACGCATTGAGTCAAGAAGATCCAGCGTTCAACATCCTAAACTGGAAACAATGTATTAAAAAATACATCTGCGCCAGCCTAATAGATGAGGAAGGGGTGCGAGGCTGGTCAACAGATAGAATCTGTTTACCCCTTAAGTCTTTGCCTAGGAGGCCTTCTACAAGACAGCAGCTGGATGCATGTAACATCTGCCCAAGATGAGTATTTTTATCGAGACACCATCTCTAGCCTTTACTCAACCAAGAGCCCCAAGGCAGGGGGTGTTTTAATTCTGAGTTAACTTCTCCTTGCATTTGCCTAAAAAAGCGTATCCTACAAGGCAGCAGGACATGGAGCAGGTTGTACTGGGTTACATGTTACCAGTAGCAGGAAAAACTGACCTGACCTTGAAGTTATGGTATCAAATGTGTTTTAGGAATGAAAATACAGAAAAATCTCTATTTTAAGTTGTAATCTTTTGAATTAATATTAAATTTTTAAAAAACTTATTTTAGGTGGATCACGTGAAACCCACTGTTTCATTGCAGAAAAATGCTGAACAATATGATTTTCTTCGATACAATGCAAGTAATGTTAGGGTCAGTTTTTTATGTTTACTGCTTTTATATATATATATATTTTATATATATATATATTAGTGCTGTTCAGTATGCTAATTTGTTTTCAGAGCATAGCTAATTGAAGTTTTTCCCTTTCAACTATCATATTGTGGTTCAAAAATATTTTTTACTAAATTTTATTATTTGCCCTGAAGGTCCCTCAAAACCCTTAAATATTTGACAGGTCCCTAATATTATTGAAAAAAAAAATTATTTAAAAATATGTCAACTTGGTACTCAAAAGAAGCAAAATCATTTAAAAATTTCAAAAACAAAAAGTATTTTTTATAAAAAAAAACAATATTGGGTTTTTTTGAATAAAAACTATGGTTTTTAAACAAAAAATGAAAAAAAGGTAATATTCACAACATTTTTAATAATAAGTTTTTTTAAGTTGTTTTTTATAAAAAATGAATCTAATTTTTAAAATTTTTATAAAATTTTGCTTCTTTTTTTAAATAATATTAGGGACCTGTCAAATGTTTAGTGGCTTTGAGGGACCTTTAGGGCAAATAATAAAGTTTAGTAAAAAATATTTTTGAACCACAATATGATAGTTGAATGGGAAAAACTTCAATAAGCTATGTTCTGAAAACAAATTAGCATACTGAACAGCCCTAATATATATATATTATATATATATTATATGTATATATATATTATATATATATATATATTATATGTATATATATATTATATGTATATATATATTATATATATATATTATATATATATTATATATATATATATGTATATTATATATATATTATATGTATATATATATATATATATATATATATATATATATATATATATATATATATATATGTATATATATATATATATATATATATATATATATATATATATATATATATATATATATATATATATATATATATATATATATATGTATATGTATATATATATATATATATACATATATACATATATACATATATACATATATACATTTATATATATATATATATATATATATATATATATATATATATATATATATATATATATATATATATATACATATATATATATATATATGTATATTAATTAAAAAAAAAGTTTTTGCAAAAATGTTTAAAAAATTGTTTAAAAAGTGTTAAGTTCAATTAATTTTCTATATTTTATAAATCAAGTCTTCCCATGAATAGCGTGCTGTTTTTCGTCTTGTATGACCACACACGAGCATCTTATTTTAGATAACTTGAACATGGCCCTTCGCAAGTTTTATAGTAATCAATGCTGAAAAAGTTTCAAAAACAAAAAAAACAAAACTAACAAAATAAAAAGAGATTGAAAAGCAAAAAATAAAAACACATTAATAGTTTAAATTATTTGTGTACTGTTTTTATTTTTGTTTCTTTAGAGTGGTTGTTACATTCAGCAACAAAAGTAGATAAGGCGAAGCAAAAAAAAAAAAGTTTGAAGTTTACAAATAAAAAGAATGATTCTCCTTTTCTTAACTTTTTTTTTAAGAGGATAGCAAAAATACAAATTGCAATGTGTTTGTAAAAGTTATTTGTACAATTTTGATGTAACAACAAGGGTTGAATTAAGTGAATGCGAAACGCAAAATCTGGAAAAATACCTAGTGTTCAAAATTTTAGTTTATACAAAACTGTGTTCCTTGTTTTTAAGGGGAGAATCAACTTAAATTTGTTAGCGAAAAAATAAAACAATAAACTTACGATTACAAAAGTAATAACGCTCTAGTCGCTAACTGCATTACAAAAGTAATAACACTATAATATTGTTATTACTTTTATAACGCACTTATAACTTTTAAAATTCATTTTTTGTTCAAGCAACATAAGTATTCCCAAATTTTAATTGAAATAGAAAAATATCTAGAAGAATAAAGTGGATGTTCAAAAAATATTAAAATTTAAATAACTTATAAAAATGTGACAAAAAATTTTATAAAAACGTATCTTATTAAAAGTTTATCATTATGAAAAACATTACTAATAGACCGTAAAAACGCACGTTAGTTTTAAAATTAACCAATAAAAATTTTTTATTGGTTGATTTTAAAATTAAAATGCGTTTTTACGTAATGTTTTTCATAATGCTATACTTTTTATAAAGTACTTTTTTATAACGTTGTTTAAGTGATCTGTGAAAGTTCCTGAAATTTTTAATAATATTTGAATATCCACTTTATTTTTTCTAGATGCTTTCCTACTTTACTAAATGTTTGGAATTAATAATGTTGTTTGAACAAAGAATGAACTTTAAAAGTAATAAGTGCTTTATAAATGTAATAACACTATTATAGTTTTATTACTTATTACTTAATGCAGTTAGTGACTAAAGTGTTATTACTTTTGTAGCCATAAGTTTATTGTTTTTGTTTTGTTTTTTGTAACTTTCTCGCTAGCAAACTTTTCATAATTTGCTCCTTATAAACAAAGTACACAGCTTTGCATGAACTAAAATTTTAAAGACCTAATATTTTACCAGAGTTTTGCAAATTGCGATTGTATAATTTAACTCTTGATATAAACTTGTTTTTGATATAATTATACAAATATATTTTACAAACAGAAGACAATACATATTTTCTCTTTCCTCTTTAAAAGAAAAAACACATAAAATATGGGAAAGTCATTCTTTTTAACGCCTAAAACCTTTTTTTTTTTTTTTTTTTTTTGCTTTGACTTACTGAGAAAACTAAAAAAATAAAACAACACATTATTTAAACTATTATTATTGTTTTCTATTTAAGTTTACTTAAATTTCTTATGTAGTTATTAAATTTAAAATAATTCAGCAACACATATAATAAAACTTGCACAAACCGTTCTCTAACTTAAAAAGCGTTTTTGTGGTCGTACGAGACGAAAAACCGCACGCCTTTCTTGGAAAGGCTTGTAGGTGGTTATTTTATAAATTTATAGTATTTTAAATTGTTAAATTAATATAATTGAAAATATTTTAAATGTATGATCTAGTAAGTGACAGGGGCCAGCTAAAAATAAGACTTTTTATGAATCTAGCTCCTGACTCTAGCAAAATTATTAGATTTAGTAAGGGTTGATAGCCAGGGCTAGGAAAAAAATCTGTAATACTTTCTGTATTATAAATTTATGCATACATTTACGATTTATTAAATATTGTTACAAAAATATATTTAACTTTTATACATTTATTTATATTCATATATTTTTAATTTTTAATACACTTTCAACAAGGTTGCAAGCAACCACTATTAAGTTATGAGTTACTAGAAAACAAAGTATAGGGTTAAAAAGCAAGGATAGGGTTAATTAAAGACTTAAAAAGTTTTAGATTGTAAGAATCAGGAAAACATGAAGATGGGTGAGAGTTTTGAGGTTTTGTTGATGTGCGAGGAAAAAAACTAGACAAATAAAAGTATTTATAGCATGAAGGGACAGGTACAGTAAAAGGATGCAACTTTGCTGAATGACAAGCCAAGGACAATTGGTTGTGTTTGATTAAACAAGAGATGATAGCTCGTTTGTGCATTGACTGTGATATTATTTGTCAGAAAAAGAAAGAGATCCAACTTTACAATGATATGAGAGTGATTCAAACTTAGCAGTTAAAGCAGGTCCAACTGCATTTACAATGTACTTTCGGATTATGTCCGAGAGTGAAAGCTTTGTTATTCGTCAATATAGGAATGTTAACAATATTAGTTTGCAATAAATAACTGAGTTTTGTTCTAAGTGTAATAAATAACTGCTGCTTGTTCGAAGTGATCAAAAAATGAAGACTTTTTGTCAAAACAAGAATATAAAGTTAAGTCGTCAGCAAATAAAGCCACTTTAGATGTAGGTACTTTTCTTCACTTTAGGTATAAGATTGTCAGGAGGAAAAAAAATTTAAAAAAAAATTTTTTGAACACTTAAGTTAAAATGCATTTATTTATCATGGTCATAATGCATTTATTTACAATATTATAAACTTTGCATAATAATAATTTACTTGATTTTTTTTGTTTTAGTATGAAAGAGAGCGTCTTGAACATATTGAAAGTGAAAATAATTATTTATTGGCAAAGCTTGTAAATGTCAAAATGAGAAATAATGACACTTACAATGGAAACCCATTAAAATTAAATAAGTAAGTCTCCAGATGAATGAGATTTTTTGATAACAAACTTTTTATTCTATTTAGGTGGATTTCAGTTTGTTTAGTTATTTCAGTTTGTTTAGGTAGATAGCTAACAATTTCAGTTTAAATTTGTTTGTTTTTTAACTTTAGGTCTGTAAACTCTCAAAGCATCCATGATATAAAGAAAATAAGACAAAATGCTTCTTATGATGACGAGTCTGTTCTAAAAAATAATGTTAGTGATATTTTTCTCATTACTATACTACATTATATATGATATTACATTAAAATTGTTTTGTTTAAAATTTTCAATTGAAAATTTTACAAATTTTTTATAACTAAAAAGAAAGAAATTGTTTAAGTTTTTTAACTAAAAAGAAAGAAATTGTTTAAGTTTTTTCAAGGAATAATTTAAATTTTTTATACTAATTTTATAACATGTTTATTGTTGTCATGTCTCAGTGTGGGCCTTTTTTGATTTACATATCTTTTTTTTTCTTTTTTCTTTTTTCTTTTTGTAACAGACAGCATCTAAGACATGTAGTTGGTATATTATAATAATATGAGTTCTAAATTATTAGATCTTTTAGAAAAATGTTTACTTTTACCCCCTAAATAAAAAAATATAATTTTACAAACTGTGCACATATAAATTCATAAAAGGATTTTTTATTAACTGTTTTTTTACTGTTTTTGATTAACTGTTAAATAGGATTTTAGCTTTTTTTTAGAAAAAAGTTTTATTTAAAGCGTAGTTTTTTGTTACATATGATGTTTAAAAGTACATTCCAAAGTTTTAGACAATAGTGGGATAACATTTGATTTCAAAAACGATTATTGCATTTTGTTTCCTTTAATTTTATTATTTTTTTTGAAGTTGAGTAATAAAGTAAGTTACTGGATAAATGTTAGATAAAAGATTTGTGCATTTTTAAAAAAAACCTGAAATTCTTTCTCTGATTTGAAGACAATTTTTTAATTGCAATCCATTTTTTAAAACAATTTTAAAATAATGCATTTTTTTTTTTCAATTGCTGGTCATTTACTTGATATTCTATTCTGCTTTTGTGCCAGTCTTGCTGCACAGTTTTGAACAGATTTTTTTAATTGTGTTTTTAATTGAGTTGCAATGGTGAAAAAAATGGACATACTATGATGCACAAATCTTTATATGATAAGAAATGTTTTTATTTTGGCTATTTTGCTCATTACATTGTAACAGTTTTTAACAATCTTATTTTTATTTTGAAAGGTAATTCATCATCAAGTATGACAATTAAACTTTTTGCTGAGTCAACAAATCTTATGCATTCTTTAATGACAAAAATAACTTTAATAATATCTTTTTAAATGTTAGATGGTGCCATAATTAATACCAACTATCTAATTCATATTTTAAGTCAGCATAATATTTAAAGCTTTGTTATTTGTAGTTTATTTGCATTATACTTTACATTATGCAAATTTTCAATTGTATATTTTTCTAATTTATTGTTTATAAATATAATTGTTGAATTATAAGTTAGAATTTTTTATTTCTAATTTATAAATAAGGTTTTACGTACAAAACACATTCATTATTAACTTGTTAAACAATTTATTTTGCAACACAAAACAATAGTATGCACTTTAAGGTGAGAATCTTTTTTAAAATTTATCAGTTCGTTAAACACAGTTAATTTTAAAATCAGTTAGTTAAAGATAATAAAATGATAGTTGTTTTAACTATAAATTCATTGTTAAAAAGTTCAAAAAGGGTTTTTAAGTTTTATCTTTTCTGAGTATAAATTTTTCCCAAATTTTGTATTAATATTATTTATACAGGATAAGAGTTACTCTGATGATGACAAAAACAAAGTATGTTTTTCTTTATATAAGTTTTATAGTTTTATGTCATTTTATTGCATTTCTAAAATCTTTTTTTTTTTTTAATATTGATGACTATCAAAAGCAAATAAAGACAAGGTTTGTTGTTATTTTTTTAATTTTATAATTTAAATATGTAATCTAAAATTTGATGTTTTATTTATAAATAAGTTAATCTGATAATACCTAAACTTAATAGTAGAAAGTATATTTATTAGGTAAATGTTTGGATAGAAGTGCCTGATGTATTTTAGTTTAAAAGGTCTGGACCTTTGAGTGTATAATGTTGAACCAAAACCTTTCTTAAAGCATATGTATCTAATGTAAGTCAAGACCAAATTCATTTATGGTCTCATTGGTGTGTAGGATTTTATTTTACACAACTCATATAATTGTTTTCATTCTGCTTAACGAAATTAAATTTAAATTTTGACTATTAAATTCAAATGTAAAAAAAAATTAAATGTAATAAGCACTAGGAGTTTTGTGTATTACATTAAAATCTCATGGATACATATTAAGAATGTGTTACTAAAACTCAAAAGCACCATGTATTGCAAAATAGCATTGCGGTAGTTACCATTACTATTGACACATGAGGTTTGGCACAGTTGTTTTAGAAATGTTCATAATACTTGTGATGCCATCAAATTGGATGATCTCTTATTAAAATTTTTGATGGCTTGTAATGTCCTTAAAATAAAAAGGTTAGTTTAGGGTTATTATAACTCTTTTATTGTTTATTCTGAACAAGCTCAGTTCAAAAAGACCAAGTGATATGCTATTGTGATAGAAAAAGGGTTATATATAATCCAAACATTTATCTTTGCAGGCCAAAAACTTACGCTTATCTTACCAACCAATGCCAAACTAACCAATATTTTATTTATTTGTAGTGCAAAGTTACATGTTTAAAGATATTTAAGCTATTAAACTATGCTAACCTGAAATACTATCTTTGTTTATTACAAAAAATGCAACACTCTGTGTCAATTTTAATATGAAAGTGAAAGGACTTTTATTCAATGATTGTTTAAAAAAAATTAGGAACATTTTGCAGTTTTGCCCTTCATACATTTAATGGTGTTTTTTGTCTGAGCTATTGTACTATATTTGGCTAAATTACTTTGGCTTTTATATATATTAGTTTAAGTAATTTTTAATTAAAATTAATTTTTAATTTCAAAACAGTTTTTTATTTTTGATTATTTCATAATATTATTAATTATAATAATTCTCAAGTTATATTTGTTATTAGTTTCATATTTTTATAGTATGTCAGTAGATGAAAATCCATACTGCCCAATTGAGGTTTGTTTATTTGTATTCATTTTTATTTTTTTTTAACCTTTATTATTTTGTGAGAAAGTATTAATATATATATATATATATATATATATATATATATATATATATATATATATATATATATATATATATATATATATATATATATATATATATATATATATATATATATATATATATATATATATATATATATATATATATATATATATATATGCTTTTTGCTGTAATCTGTTTTATAATATAATATAACAGTTATCTACTTTTATAATCACTAATTTTTTAGCTTAAAGAATTTATGAAAATTGATAGAGTGATTATGACTGAGAACATAAGACTTAATAAAAAACTGACTGAAATTAAACAAGGAAAATACAAGCATCATATTCCTAAAGCTGCTGAACAGGACAACAATCAGTAAGTTTCTCTCATTAAATTATTTGTTTAAAAGTAAAAATAAATTCTATTTTAAGTTTTTTTTTTTTTCAAATTATTTTTATTAGTTTATTTAATAATAGAAATGTTTTGACATTAAAACTACTTAAAACAGAAAAAAAAAAGATATTAAAACCAGGGATGCAAAGTCCTGAAAGGACTGCGGCTTTATATCTCTACTTTTTCTAAGTCTAAAGTGTCCAGAAGCTCTAAACATGTTTGTTGACTTATGATCTGCTATAAGGAAACAATTCATGAGATTTAATGACTTGAAACTTATTATTTTTAAGGTTCAAAAAATGATTGTTTTTCGTATCTAAAAGTCTTAAATTTTTTCCTATTAGTAGTCCATAAACTTATTTTTACTTTTAGAGCTCCAAGATACCAAAAAATAGTGTATTTAAATCCGGAGACCTTTTTGGGACTCCGCAACCCTGATTAAAATCTATAGAAAATGTTTTTATCAAATCCAAAGTTTATTTTAACTTTTTGCACTGAAATTTAAAGTAAAAAAATGATTTTCTTGAATTTCTTGTGAATAGTTATCATTGACTTTATTTAGAAACAAAAAATTGAGTAAAAAAGGATTTCTAGACTTAAAGTTGAACAACATGAATGTATTATTATTATTAGCTTTATTATTAAGCAACCTTTTAATTAAAATATTGTTATTAAATTTTTGCTTTATAATTTTGTTTACTTGTTTAATTTTCCCGTTAAAATAATAAAAATATTATCATTTGTTTTGTTTTATTATTTTTCATCATTTGTAATTAATAAAAAATATTGTTAGTTATTTGTTTATTTTAATATTTTGTCATTTGGAATTATTAAAATTTTTTGTTATTTATTATTAATTTATTTATTATAAAATTTGTTTGTTATTTACTATTAAATTTTGTTTGTAATGTGTTTATTTTTGTTTTTTTTTTATCATTTAGTTATCATTATAAAAAATCATAATAACATAGATATTCATAATAACACACTTTTTTTAAGTTCAATTTGTTAGTATTGTATCTTTTTTTTACATTTTAGCAGATTATTGGAAAAAAGCTCTCATTCAGGTGTATGTATTTTTTTATTCTAATTTTGATTTTATTATCTTATTGCTATCACAAAAATGGTTTTATGTTCTCCATCAGTTCATAACTAATTTTCTCACAATCTTTTCAATTTGTTTTTAGAATGAGGAGTATGATAAAAAAGAGATTCTGCGCAAAGCAGAAAATGTTCGTTTAAACAAAAAGCTACAAGATATTAAAAAAGGTAAAGGAAGAAAACCAGCAGATGACCCTCAATTTGATCCTGGAGAGCGTTGGTACATTATTAAATCACATAAAAAAATTTAGTTAAATACTAACTTAAACTATATTGGATATATACATGTTTATATATTTATGTGCACTCTTGCAACAAGAGTATAATTTTTTTCCACGTTGAACACTTCTAATGATTTGAAAGATTTCTTTTAATGAGCCTTGATCATTATTATGTGCTCCCATCATTCTTAATTGATCCTGTCAATGATCAAGCTAGAGAAAGTCCTTTCGAAGAGAGAAAGTGACTTTCGAGAACTTTAGACTTTAGAGAAAGTCCTTTCGCCTAGAGAAAGTGACTTTCGATCGCTCTTATGCTTACAACAGAATATTTATGGCTATTTCAGTTTTCAAAGAAAATTGAAATACCCATAAATATTCGTTGTAAGCATAAGCAAATATTTTATATAGCTTATAAAAATTAGCTTGTGTCTTGTCAAACAATTTTATTAATTTGCATTATTTCCTATGTCATTCAAAAAGGAGATCAACAAAATTTGCTTGAAAAGAAAACTCAAAGCTTTCATTCCAAAAAGTTTGGAATAAAAAACTTCATTTTTTTAAAGATTGTTTTCATCTTACCAGCTTTTATGTATATTTTATTGGTTTTAAAAACCAATAAAATATATATTAAAAATGGTTTCAGATTATAGCTTATAGTTTTAAAATCCATTTTCAATCTTATGTCTATAACAAAATTACTTTGGTTAGAATCTAATATATTAAAATTCACTTTATATCATAACAAAAAGTTACTTAGGATTTAAAATTTTTATCAGGTTAGTCATAATTAATTTGATAATTATATAATTTATTAACACTAAATTTTTTTTATTGCATTGTAGATTACCGTGTATGTAGATATTACTGTATACCATTTTTCATAACACTGAATTCTTATCATTGATGTAATTTTAAACTTGACAGGTGGGTGACATCTCCTCGTGCAAGAGATTTGGCAAAAATGCATAAGAAAGCAGAAGAAATCAGAAATGAGATTCGATTGAAGAGAGAAATTGCTTTTAAAAAAGAATATGAGCACCAACTAAAGGTTTAAATAGAATTATATAATTAATCTACAATAAATTTATTAGAATAATAAAATTTATAGAAATGAAGCTTTATATAATAAAATAAAAAGACCAAAGTATATTTAAGTCATCGCAACTTATCTATATATATATATATATATATAATATATATATATATATATATATATATATATATATATATATATATATATATATATATATATATATATATATATATATATATATATATATATATATATATATATATATATATAATATATATATATATATATATATATATATATATATATATATATATATATATATATATATATATACATATTTTTAAAAAAATGTTTTTAAATGCCATATTTAAGTTATTTTTATTAAATTTTTATCTTAAACTGAACTCTATTGTAAAAATCTACACAAACTTAGATGCAAACTTAGGTCTCTTTATTTTCTTTATTTTTTAATTTATCTTTAATTTTATCTTTAATTTAATTAGGTCAGTATTTTGATCCTTTTTTTAAGTTTATCCTTATATTGGAATATTAGTATCTTTTATCTGTTTTTAAATTTATTTTTTTTTAGTTGATGAAGGAAAGAGAGGATCAGAAGAACCAGAAAGAAGTTGTAAGTTGTTTTTTTTTATCAACATAAACAATTTTTTAAAAATGTATTGATGGAATTAAAAAATATTTGAATCAAATGCAGATATTTAAAGATATTTAATAATGTTCAAAGGCAGATATTTAAAGATCTGACGGACAATCTGGTTTGCTCTAAATCTTGTTTCTGGTATAGATTTTTGGACAATTTAGGGGTTGTACTAGAAAGTTCTTTTGCGAAAAAAAAAACAAAAAACATAGATTTATAACTTTGAAAAATAAAAATTTGTAATGTTTAAGAAAAATATTTTTAAGTTTTATTAAAATTGTAAATATTTTTTTTCAATATTATAAGTATAATCTTTAATCTTTATAATCTTTAATTAAAAAAAATAAAGCACATTATGCTGCATTCGTCACATTATGCTGCATTCGTCACATTATGCTGCATTCGTCACATTATGCTGCATTCGTCACATTATGCTGCATTTGTCTTTTTTGTTCCGCAATATTTCATTCCAATAATTGAATTGTTAGAATAAAGAAAAGTTTATAACTTTAAGTAAGTTAATCAAATGTAGTAAAGTATCCTGAATAGGGCTGTCTTTTCCAAAAAATCAATAATCAAAGCATTAAACTTAACAGTCATTAATACTCAGATAAAATAAAATAAAAATTTACATCGAACTTGTATTTCTACTCGCCACTTATAGTTTAACAATTTGGTACTTCCTTGTTAAAGCATAGAAAAACAGTTTTTGGTTTGGAATTATTAATAAAATAATTAAAAGAGCAATATATAACAAGAAGCTCATTTGGTAGGGGTGGCAAAAAAAAATTTCACATTTTTCTTGTAGCAAAATATGTGATGCCTTTTTCAATTATTAAGGTGAGTTTCCACTCATCCGTTTTTTGACGGGAACGGGAAAGGGAAGGGAAAAATAATCACGTGGGCATGCGTATTATAAGTTTTAATTTGTCCGAAGTAAAACTACGCGTGCTCACGTGATTATTTTTCCCTTTCCTATCCCGTTCACGTAAAAAAATGGATAAGTGGAAACTCACCTTTACACTTCTTTAGACACGATGTCTAGTAAAAAAAGGTGAAGACACAAAACCTATATTTAACGATAAACAAAACTCTTTTACAACAATACCTTATGCTACAAACCGTCAACAGTTGCTAAATCTATTTTAGTGTCGCTGTTCAGCTTAACAATTATTTATTTTTCTCTTTTAGCCGCCTGGTTATCATGTAAAACTACGAAAAAAGAAGAAGAATTATATTGACGAAAAGAATAACGACAAAGAAAAAGTTGAATCAAAATAAAAACATAAATTAATATATTATAAATAATTAAGTAATTTTTTGATTTTTACGAAATAGCGATTAAACTAAACAGTTTGCAAGTTAACAACCATTAGAACCAGTAAATAAAATATTGACCAGACAATTTTCCAGGTTGCCTATCAGATTCAATTGCAGGTTGCAATAATATTCAATAAACGGCAAACAAAAAAAAAAGTTGCAGTAAAGGACGAGATAATTTGCGTTGTAAATTGTGCCACTTATTTAATCTTAAAATTATTGCTTCGATTGCACAGTGGGCTTCTTAAATAAAATGGAAAAAAAAATTATTTGTCTAAATTAAATCTTAACTTTAATTTTTATATATATGAGGCATTATTTATTTTAGGTAATTTATATCAAATTCATCAGTAATCCCGGTGTATTTGAATATTACAAATAAAAAAAAAAACTATTCTAAAAATAGTTTCTGTGAGATCTATGGTGTGTAATATTTCATTTACATCTTCTTTTTTGTCAAAAAACTAAATTGGTTCAAGGTTATTTTAGCGTATTCTGGGGAAAAAAAGCATATTCTTACGTGAGTTTGTCATAGTATGCATATATCAGTAATAATTAACATGTAATTGAGCTTTAGGTTTTTAAATCGGTACTATAAAAATATTATATAATACCTTGATAGTATCCGGTTGGAAACTAGCTAGCGAGTCTTATTCGTAATGATAAAGATAGCGATTTGGCCACGAGGATCGTAAGTTAAAAGTTAATAATGCGGTTCATTGAAATTTATGTTACTACAATGACGTTTCTGTGAAAAATGACAATTTTAATAATATATAGTATACCTCCTGGAGGGAGAAAGAATCTTCCCCTAGCTGGTATATTAAACATCATTGCTTCTATTAAACAATTGATTTAATCTTAAAAAGCTGTCACAGTCTTATAAACAATATGTCAAGACAAGAAAATTAGAATCTCAAAACAAAAGTTAAAGAAATTATATAAGTAAAACAACAATTTAAAAAAGTACTATACAGTGTTTCCAGATAGAGGGTTAAGGTTGAAGGTAAAGGTACCTACATTTTTTTTTTCACGCATTTATCAGGTGGGTTTAGTAGATTATTAGGTGGGTTTAGTAGATTATCAGGTGGGTTTATTAGATTATCAGGTGGGTTTAGTAGATTATCAGGTGGGTTTAGTAGATTATCAGGTGGGTTTAGTAGATTATCAGGTGGGTTTAGTAGATAATCAGGTGGGTTTAGTAGATTATCAGGTGGGTTTAGTAGATTATAGTTAAGCAAAAACTAAAATCAGAGCCACTCCTAAATTTAGAATTTAATAATTTTTTTTAATATTTAATAGTGGTAATATTTTTACCGTCATAACCTTGTTGTCTTTAGTGTTGCAGATAGCTTAAATAGACCCTATAAAGCAGAAGTAATCTTACAACTTAAAATTATAATAATAATGTATAAATGTAGGGCTAGCGGAAGAGGTGGAGCTTAGAGGGCTTCAGCCCCCTTACTTTAAAAATGTAGGCAATTTTGGTATTACAGCTTCCCCCTCCCTACCCATCAACCTTTAAGTCTATTATTTCTAAATGTTTAATCTTGATGGTAGCAAATGAAGCCAAATCAACAAAAAAACACTGCAAAATTAATATTATTTTTAAATAATAACAGTTATATGTTAACAGTTGTATTACCATTTAACAACACTTACCCTATAGGTTTAAAAAAATATTGAAGCGATTAAAATTAGTTTAATAAAATTTGAAATATATTTTTAGCACCCTCCCCCTTAATATTTCCTTCCACCACCCCTGTATTAATGTATTATTTTTGTTCAAATTTTGATATTAAATTTAAAATGCCAAGAAAAATATATTTTTTATGAATTTAAATCCAAACAATAGCTACAAATATTTTTAATAGTTTTATGGGCCAGAGCCTAAAATGAATAAAATAAAAATCATTCCTCGTTGATCCGGCACTGCATTTAAGAAACTAAAAAGTATATGTAAGCTCAAAAACAATTTGATTTGAATTGAAATTTTAGGTATAAAAAGAAGTTTAAAATTATAAACAGAACTTAAAAGATATGAATTATTTAAAGAGTTATTACTACTTTTTAAAACCAAAAAACTAGTTTCTGAGTAAAAATAGATTGCAAAAAATATTTTACTTAGTAACTGCCGTATTTTTATTGCGGCCATTGTACTAATGTGCATTACCATCTGGATTGGACATCAAACTATACATACGTACACACATACATACATACATACATACATACATACATACATACATACATACATACATACATACATACATACATACATACATACATACATACATACATACATACATACATACATACATAAATGCGTTTAAGTTCTTAATAACACGAAAGGAAAGTAAGTTGACAACAAGAAAAAATTATAAAAAATTAATTGTTTTATAATTATAAATAAAAGGTTAATTACGGTTTGAAAGTCTACTTATTTAATGACCTTTAGCAATCTTTTTTGCATACCATCAATTAATTTTCAATGATTTCTAGATGCATACAAAAATTTTCCGCTGCAGAGCTTTATTTGATGTTCCTTCAGCAGAGACATTACCACTATAGAGCTTATTTAAGTTGAGTTTTAGAACCTCTATTGTTTTGGTGTAGTTCAATTTGTCCAAAAGATGTTCTATGAGGGTTAAAGCCTGGACTCTGATCAATTGAATCAATAATAACTTACTGTAATTTAAATTGCAACAACGTTTGAAGCTAATGAAGTATACGATACATTCTTTCAAACTTTCTATGAAATATATGATGTAAATTTTCCAAAACGTGAGTTTATTAAAACAAATAAAAGTTTAAAGTCACCATGGGTCAATAAAGATCTTAGGAAATCCTCAAAAATAAAGCAAAAACTGTATAAAAGTACTTAAAAAAACTAACACTAGAAAATAAAATTATTTATAAAAATTATGCTAAAATGTTTGAAAGTCAAAGAAAAAAATTTAAAAAAAGATATTACTATGATTTACTAGAAAAATATAAACATAATTCAAAACGCACATGGCAAATTATAAGTCAAGTTACTGGAAATAGTAAATTAAAATTATGCTCTATACCTAACACAATAAAAGTTGATAGTATATTTTTATATGAACCCAAACAAATTGCAAGAGAATTAAATAAATATTTCGTGTCTGTTGGCCCAAACTTAGCTAAAAATATTCCAAATATGATTAATCCAATAAATGATTACGTGTTTCCATTAATCTCTAGTTTAAATAAATTTGAAGTATCTTCTTCAGAATTTGAAAGTGCTTTTAAAATGCTTAAAACTAATAAAGCAGTTGATCCTGATGATATAAATTGTAATATAGTCATAGATTCATACGATACCATAAAACATATTCTTTTTAAAGTTTTTAAATGTTCTATTAATCAAGGAATTTTCCCCGATCAATTGAAAATAGCCAAAATAACGCCTGTATTTAAAGGAGGTGAACCGTCTAATGTCAGTAATTATCGACCAATATCTATCCTCTATGTTTTTTCAAAAATTTTAGAAAGAGTTTTGTTTAATCAAATATCTAATCATCTTGCTATTAATAATATACTTTACATAAACCAATATGGTTTTAAAAGAAATAACTCTACTGAACATGCAATAGTTCATCTTACTCGTAGTATAACTGATTCTTTCGAAAAGTCAGAGTTCGCTTTAGGCGTCTTTATAGACTTATCTAAGGCTTTCGACACAATTGACCATGAAATACTGTTTAAAAAACTTGAACATTATGGTATCATCGGTAATGCCTTAAAACTACTAAAAAGCTATTTAAAACATCGCAAACAATTTGTCTATATCGACGGATCTTCTTCACAAGATTATTTAAATATAGATTATCTAAATATAACCTGTGGAGTTCCACAGGGATCTATACTAGGGCCCTTATTATTTCTAATTTATGTTAACGATCTCCATGAAGTCTCAAAATTAACAACTATAATGTTTGCTGATGATACAAACCTATTCCTATCAAATAATAACATCGACAAACTTTTTTATGATATGAACACTGAACTAATAAAAATATCTGACTGGTTTAAGTTAAATAAACTTTCACTCAACATTGATAAAACTAAATGGATTTTCTTTCATCCACGATTTAAAAAACATTTACTTCCAAGTAATATGACTCTTCTTCATATTGATAATATTCAAATAAAAAGAGTAGTTTTCACAAATTTTCTAGGTATCATTGATGATGAAAATCTATCATGGAACAATCACAACAAAATTGCAAAAAGCATTAGAGTTTTATATAAAGCAAGAAGCGTTTTAAACAAACATTCACTAACTCAACTATATTACTCTTTCATACACTGTCATATTAATTATGCTAATATTGCATGGGGTAGTACCCATAAAAGTAAATTAAAGCCACTTTATTGTCAGCAGAAGCATATTGCACGTATTATAAATTTCAAAAATCGTTTTACTCACTCAAGGTCACTTTTATTTAACATGAATGTTTTTAATATATATCAAGTAAATGTTTATAATGTTCTTTGTTTTATGTTTAAATGTAAAACCAACTCTTCTCCAGCTTCCTTTTTTGATTTATATTCTTTAAAAGAAAAAAACAAATATTCTTTAAGAAATGATAATTTTATTAAACAACCAAAATTTCAAACAAACTTTGGTAAACTTTGCATTTCTTTTCGTGGAGCTTTTTTATGGAACCAAATAATTTTAAAAAATTTTGATTTTTCTCATGAATGGAATTATTATATGTTCAAACGAAAACTAAAAAAAGTAATATTCTCAATTGAAAATATATTTATATACTTTTAATTTTACTTAGTTTTGTTAACACTCATTTATATTTTACTTTTATACAATATTGATTTTAAGTTTATGTCAGAAACTGTAGTTAAACATTATTATTTGAATTTTGTTAAAAGTTCCACTGACATTATTTGTACAGTAGGCATTTATTATTTACTTGTTTACTTTAATTTTTATTTTATTTCGTAATT